AAGGGAGAAGGCAGTGTCCTGCCCACTCGGAGCATCCCGCAGCTGCTGGGGGTCTCCTGGCAGTGCTGAGGAGGCTTGGGAGGAATGTGGGGATGGACCTGTGCTTAGGGCTCCGGGGGAGAAGGAAAATAAGAATGGGAGCAATGTTTTCCCACTGTGAGTGGTGAAAGAGAAACCATCCTGCTGCAATACCCAACAAACGGAAAAACAAACAAACCCCAAACCAAACAACCAAACAAAAACCAGGCAAAACAGAAACTCCCCAAACCACCAAGCAAACCTCGCTGGGATTTCATGGAATGCTCACACAGTCCAACTCCGGTAAGCAGCCACAGCAGCCCGAGAGCGGCCGCGCTGCCGAGTGTGGCAGCGGCACCGGAACCCTTCCCTACGCCGGGAGAAATTTTATAAACTTCAGCTATTTTAAAAAAAAAAAAAAATCTTTGGGGTCAATTTTCCACTTGGGCCTGTAGCTCTTGAACAAGTACTTTTAAGGTTCCTTCTAACATACAGGATTTATCTGCAGCTCTGTGAAGGGCTTTGACATTTAATCCAGCGCTGAAGTAGTAATTTGTTGCCGGCGCTTCCTACCAGGCTTTTCTTTTAACTTTCCCGGGACCGGGCCCTTTGTGCCGGCTGCTAATCTGTGCCTCACAATGCCGGGGCACCTCGGGCTGCACCTCCGCTGTCCTCCCCGGCCGAGGAAGGGGACGTGGTGAGTGCCTGAGGATGGGAGCTGGTCGGGGGGCCGGGGGGCTGCACCCACCGGCGGCGCGGGAGCCCCGGCACGGCGCGATCCCACCGCTCGGCTGGTCCGGTCCCGGCTTGTTGGGAGCCGGGCTTTCTCCACGTGTGTGCACGGAGCCGTCGGTGCACGGAATTCAGAGGAGCTCCCGTGGCTTTTCTGCAAAGCCTCTGATTTTTTTTTTTAGTCCACTTGCAGAATGGTTTTTTTTAAATCAGTTTTAAAGTTCCTCTTACGCTGGGAATAGTGTGTTTGGTTTGGTTTTTTTCCTGGAGGACACAGTGCTGTAGGCTGTCTACATATATTCTACCAGTTTTTAGAGAGAGGAAGAAATCAGGGTAGAGGAAAAGAACCTTGTACAAGTCTTCATTTTAATTGAAGTGTACATAGTTTTTAGAATAATTTTTAGAGTGAGAGTTTTTGCCTTGCAGATGCATGTCTTTTATATTAAAAATAGTATTTTTTGATCCCAGGTGATGAATGAATATTTTATTCCAGATACAAAACCATCTTGGGGATATGTTTGGACGTAGTAGAAGCATGTGAAATAGTGCCCGACAAATATGAAATAGTCTCTCATAAATAAAGATACCAAAGCCACAATATTAAAAATGGGAGCAGCTCTGCCCGCCTCCCTTTTATCACAACATTTCCAAACTCGACTGATATTACAGGAGGCCTTTCGGCGATGGCTCAGGCAAGAAATGTTGCTGTATTTACATGAATTATGTCTGCACATTGTACTTTGTCTGGGGGCACATGGATCTCTTTTCTGCATTGGGTAAATGTTCATGTCCAGCAGCAACTTCTGCTTCTCTTAAGGCGCTGCTAAAAAACCTGCTTTTGGGAGCTCTGTGCCCCCAGATCTGAGCAGGGACAGCCCCCCTTTCCCTGGCAGCCGCCACGGCACAGGCATTCCTGACTTACAGCCCGAACCAGGCGGCTCCAAACGGACGAGCCGCAGCCCAGGAATCCTTGTGAGCCGTAAAGAGGGGAACCCGCAGGTACAGCAGCACGTGGGGAGCTTTATGGGCATGATTTAGTGAATATGAGAACATATTTTGTGCTCCATTGTTTAGACTCAAGAAGGCATAAAATCTTTAACATCTATTTATCATGTAGCTATTTTAATGTAAACATTTGTCTATTTGGATGAAGTGTTTTCATTATTAAGCTAATTTCCACATGTTTCAGATAGACTGATGAGTTGGAAGCAGAGCACTTGCTGATGAGAAACGAAATTCGGCCGCGGCTCAGCCTGCTGTCAGATACATCTTCATTAGTTTTTGTCATTCACTGATGGCAAATGCTCTATAAATGAGATGACGATCAGGTCCGCCTTGATAACTTGCCTTATCTCATTAGTTTTCACATCAAAGTTAATCAGCAATGTGAATTGTAATTGCTGGAAGAGACAATGCAATAGATCACTCGGCCTTTTTTTTCTGCGTGGCATCTTGAAACATCAGCAGGCTGGTGTGAGTAGATAGGCTCCGAAGGAAAATGATGTGGAAAGCATAATAAGCAAGCTGCTCGGAATTAATGAGCTTACCCAATAAGAAAAGAATAACCAATCAATGTGAGCTGGGCAAATATAATTTAGGAATAATTGCTTGATTGGTTGTCTATAGTAGGCTGATTTGACCACACACAAGGATTAAGAATTAAGATGTCAAGGCAAAAAATAATTTGGCAACTGAGGGCATGTAATTTTTTGTTCCCCTCCCTTTATGACTGAAAGCGATGGCTGTTTGATATGTTATTCCCCGGGAATGAAAACATTAGATGGGCGCGCGCTGGTGGGTGGGGTTTTTTCCCTCTCCTTTATGCTCCTTTTATCATACAAGGTCTTTCAAACCTCCGTGGGGATATTGCAGCGCGGGACATTAAAAAAGGAATGGGGAGGGGGGGAATAAAACTAAAAAAATAACCCAAGCCCCAGCCGTGTTGGTTGGTGAGCTCTGCATGGCGAGGAGCTGTGGGCTGGCAGGGGCTGTGCACACCGCGCTGTGCCGGGGGTTTGCAGAGCCCGGCCATGCCCAGGTCCAAATCCGAAACGCAATTCCTGCGCCACGCACGCTTTCCATAGAATTTTCCCCACAGCCACTGGCCAATTAGTAAAGAACCCTTATATTCTTCTATCTAAACTATAGGGAAGGTTCAGCCAGAAGGTAAATTTGCTTTGATCTACATTACACCTAATTGAGTCACCACCAATGTCTCTATCCCAACATCAAGAAATGTGAAAATGTTAGATTATTTCACTGGGGATTAAACCTAATTTTCGCGTGTTCTGCATTAACCTATTAGGCTGACTCATCTGCATTGCTAATGCGGCTCAGGCAGCTGTCACTGCTAAAGAAAAACATGATCATGCAATCCTTGAATGAATGATTCCAGCTCTGATTAGTGTTAGTGAAGTTAGCTGAGCCCTGGTGATAAGGCAGGAAAATTCCCAGGTTGCCAATAGCTTTGAAAATTATCAGACTCTGGGCAAAATGTAGCTGGCGGCGCGCGGGGCCTCCCTCGGAAGGCGGCATTATTTAAGGCTGTCTCTTCGGGTGCTCGCAGGAACGCGGCTGCTGCTTCCGAGGGGCTGGTGCCAGGGGTACGGATTAAAATGCTAATGGGGAGCGACCTGAGCGCGCCCGCCGGGGACAGCCGGAGGTTCTTCCCTGCCCGTTTCCAGACGGGAGCGGCGGCCACGCCGGAGCAGCTCCGGCCGGGAGAAGGGGCTCGCGGGGGCCAGCGAGGACCACGGCCCACGGCTGGGCTCCACTCTTTGTTCACCGCCGTCAGCTCCAGCCATTCCTGCTCTCTTTCTATCTGTCAAATTTAAATAGGGGGAAAAAAAAAAAAGAACCAACAATGACCCATCCCCTTGAGATGGGAAAAATTTAGGAGTGAGTTATCCCCGAGCAATAGAGCCAGGAGCCAATTTAATCCGATTAGTGCCTGCCGACAATGGATGCTCCTTGCCCATTGTGGACAGAAGCTTTCACTTTATTTGTTTCTATTAGCCAGGAATCCCAGATATCGGAAAAGTGGAATTTTGCCCCGACAATCAACGAAAAAACAAATCGAGAAAAATAGTCTTAAGTGTCAATATTGATCTTTTGGCCTTGACTCTGTGTGGAGAGGACTTGTTGAGTGCCCAAAGTTTGCAGCTCCCGTCCCTGCCCGCCCTTGGTGCTCCCAGTTGTAGGGGGTGGTGGCAGCTCTTCCCGTCGGGATGGTGGGTGTGGAAGGCAGGGGCTGCCGAGGCAGAGCAGGGGGGTTTCACTGGGAAAAGACTCGCAGTTGTCGCCCAAACGGCAGCACTGATAGCAAATGTAACAGGGCTTTAACCTGACAGGCACATTTATGTCATTCCCAGTTCCTTGGTGAACACACTCGCTGCAGGTGTTGGCAGAGCCTCCTTCCCATCACATTTCATAGGAAGAAACTCCGAGTTTTCATGTACTTGGAATGCATTCTCCTGTATCCCAGCCCAGCATGGCACCGATATCCGTGACTGCCACAGCATCACTGAGCTCCCTCTCCCTCCCCTGTGTGACTGTGGCATCCCCTGGGTGTGGACAGGCCGGACCTGGGCTCCGTGTGGTGCTGCTGGAGTGGCGCCAGGCAGGGAAGGGCAGGATGGAGGTGGAGACCAAGATTTACAGAGGGTGACCTGTCCTGTGCCCAGAGCCCCAGGAATTCCAAGGGGAATAGGAGGAGAAAGACAGAGGGCACCAGCAGCACCCTGTGCCCTGAGGGGCCTCCCTGGCGACTGCCACCATGGGCTGGCAGTGTTGGCCAGGGCAGCTGGACCTGGCCCTACCCTCGTGGTGTGGTGCAGACTCATCAGCTTTGGGGTTTTGCCCCCAGGTGCCAAATGCTTTGCTGTCTGGAAAAGCACAGACCTGCTGAGCAGACCTGTGCCCCCAGCAGAGGTGCTCCTCTGCAGTTTGGGAGAGGTGTGTTTTACCATCCCAGACTCCTCGAGGAGCTGCACACCAGAATCCCATCCTTCTGACCCACATCCTGACATCCTGCCAGGCAGTCGTTGGTTCTGCAGGTCAGGGATGAATTTCCCTGCAGAGCCTGGGAGCAGCTCTCCCTGGGCAGGTGTATGAGCACCTGTCCCTGTGCTTCCCTGAGCAACAGCCTGCACGGGGGAAAAGCGTCAGGGGGCATTATTCCCTGGAGCTACCCCAGGAGAGGTACTGTTTTCCTAAAATGAGATTTATTTTTTTTCTCCCCTTTGTTACAGTGAGTGGCTCCAGGTGTCAACTGAGCAAACTCAGGATCAGCTGCAGCTCTTCCAGAGTGCGTGTCCACGTGCAGAATATTCCGGAACAGGTATTTCACTTTAAATTCATGCCCCGTCTTATTCCAGAATATTTTCCCTGTGTAGAGGAGCACTTGGCTGGGGTCTCTGCTTGCTGCCGTACTAGTGATAAGATGGATTGGCTGATCTAATAGGTCTTTTCAATCTCTGATTTTGAAAGCTAAGATTGGGAAATTAATTTCAGAAAGGTCAAAACAGAGCAAGGCTATCCTGCCGCTGTGTGATGGATCCTATTTTTTTTTAAATCTGCCTATTGAAGGAAAGGTTAGTTATTCAGCATCCTGCAAAAGAAAGAAATAAATAAAGCGAGCCGAGGAACACAAAAGTGTATAGATCTGCTGACCCATCCGCAATCTTCAGTTAATGAAAACGCCGGGAGCGGGAGCGCTGAGAGCCTGCCGAGCTGGGGGGCACCGACCCCGCGGGGATGCTCCCCCCATTCCCGCCCGGCATTCCCGCCCGGCACGCCGCGCGTGTCCGGCGCTGCCCAGGGGGCTCCGGAGCAGCACCCGCGGTGGCCCGAGCGTGGGAGGTCTGCTCTGCTCCCACCCCGGCCCGTGGGGGGGCTGGGGGGGTCAAGGGCAGTTTGTGGAAGCGCCGAGTAAATCCCGGTGGTGTTAAGGAAAAGTCCAGCCCGAGGCACCGAGGGGGAGGAGAGGGGCGGCAGCGTCGCTCCGGGATGGTCGTGGGGAGGGCTGGGGAGTCGTGCCGTGGGCTGGGGGAAGGCTGGTCGTGGTTTGCTGGGAAAAGAAACAGAAAACTCGGAGGAAAAGGGGACAAATAATGAAAACAAAGGCTTCACGTAGGTATTTCCCTGCTTTTCATTTCTTCTGTTCCAATGCACAAGCCCAACAGTAAAATGGAAGGTAAATTGCTCCAGTCATTTTAAAAAACAGGGAATCAGGGAGAGCAAAGGGCCGCTTGGGGGGGAATCACTTCTTAATTAAAAAGAAAATAGATTTCTTTTGTTTGTTTACTTTTTTTTTGCCTCTCCACCTGGTATATTCAGTAACCTGCCGAGCTGCCCTTCCTCTTTTCCCTTCTCTTATTACAGATCAATATGTTGAATTTTGGGAAGTGGGGATAAATCAATTGGGTTTGGTAGCACTGATTAAACCCCTGCCCTGCCCTGACAGCGCCAGGGATATTGTGCCATTCCTGGAGTCTGACACACGGGGAGAGTCCCGGACTAAACCAGGAGGCTGCTGTGCCTGGGATTGCTGTGCAGCCCCACATCCCAGTGGGATACTGTTGGGAAAAGCCAGGGGCTGTTGCAGGGAGGGTTGGTGTGTGGGACAGGCCAAGTGAACTGCAGCCAGTCCAGAACTCATGGAGCACCTTTCCTTGTTTTGTTAAGGACAGAATTCCTCGTGAGCACTAACTTGGGTCTCCAAGGAATTCTGCTGAATGCTCTGGAGGTAGGATCCTGACTGGAATACCTAGCCACAGCAATGTTAATTAACACACTCATCTTGGATTTAATTCACCCTTGAACCTGTATGAGTCAATCTCACTTTACAGTTCCCTCTTTACGGAGAAATACTAAGCCTGTATGGATCTGGGGCTGTTTCGTGTGGAAGCGTGCTTCCCAGCCATTCCTGAAGCTCTCCACTTCTTGCTTCTCCTGTTGCTTTCTGCACTCAGTTATACAAAACCAAAACAGGAAAAATGAGCAAAACAAATATCTCCAGTTGAGGATTATGCTCACAAGTTCAGTAACAAATACCAGTTATTAGTCAATATATACAAACAGCTGAATTATTTTAACACATCAGACCACAGTGGAGATAAAGGATAACTTGGGAAATGGATTGTTGCATTTATCATTCTGAACAGAAGATGCCAAGGAAAACGCTGGAGCACAGAAACACATCTGGCTCCTTGGCAGGGTTATCTTTTCCCAGTAAAGATCCCGAGCAGGTTTGACCGGACACCAGAGCACCCCATAAATCAGATTGAGCTCCCCACAGCAAGGGCTGGGGAAGCTGCCAGGCGTCACTTTACCTGTCCTTTCTGAGGTTTCCCTCGCTGCTAATTCCAGAAAGACTGGAGCAATTCAAAGGTAAAGAGGTTTCCATACTCGCAAATATGTCCTGCTCCCCAAAGCTGATGCTGGAATTAGGCATGGATTAATCTCCTAGCATCCAGTGGAAAAAATAGGAACTTAAATCTTTGTGAGTAGAAACATAGATATTTTTAGGGCGAATGTTGGCTTAGCTGGAGGAATCCGTGCAGTGGGGGTATGGGGGGCCCGTGGGCGCCGTGTCACACACGTGATGTGACATGACGTGGGTCCTGGAGTGACCCGGGAGCTGCTGCTGGATCGGGAGCTGCTCCGGCTGCCGGGGGAGGGCCGTGCGTGGGGCCGGGGGGCCCCCGGGGCCGGGGTTTGTTGTCAGTGTGTACACACGGAGCTGCAGCTCAGCAGGCTCTGGGAAAGGCTTTTGTAGGGATGTGTGTGTGGTCCCTCGACACGGAAAAGGCAGTGAAGAGCCACCGGCTCCGGGAGCACCTCCCCATCCCGCAGGGTCCTGCCATACAACGGCTTTCCCGCGGGATGCTGTTACCCCCGAGAGCTGTGGCTTTCCCTCCAAAACAGGAACTTAGAGGAGGTGCTGCAGGTGGGGGGCAGGAGGCTTTTTTCACAAGAATCGGAGATTCTGGCTCTTTAATGGCACGTGGGTGGGGCTCATTTCTCCCTTGCTACAGAGACAGGGACAGGGCTGCCACAAAGCAGGATTTTCCCAATGTTTTCTGTGCTTTTGCCTTTTTTTCAAGCCCTTATATGATACAGAAGCTGAGTGGCATTCGTGTATCTTGGGATTCCTTCCCGTAACTTCCAGGGAGTTTTTCCCAAGTCCTCACTTTCCTCCCCTATGAAAGTGCACCTTTACCTGCGAGCGGATCCAGGTGTGCCAGACTCAGGCTTAGGGTGACAAAGGCATGTAGGGCTTTGTAGTCCTCTGGTTATTTTTATTCACATGTTGTGGATTTTTTTCAAATTCAACCCCCGCTTAACCACAGCATCTCTATAGCAGTTTGAATGTTTTATTATTATTAATGTAATAACTTCACATCAAGTGTGCACTTGCAGCAGATTGGCATGGGAAAACACAGTAATTCTTGGTGAGGGTGCACGAGTGAGATGCCACAAAGGGGGTAACTCTGTCAGAGGGTGGAGCGGCGTGTGGGGCACGAGGCCCCTGAGCACTGTCCCTGCCCCAGCACGTGCTGCTCCTCAGGTGCAGCCCCGAGTGACTGTGCCAGCTCCATCGCAGTCCCACACCACCCTCCCAGCTTTCCTGGATGCTTTGCCCTGGCCGAGGGTCCCAGCCTGGCACTGCTGTGTAAGCTGTGGGTCCTCAACCTCCACAGATCCCGGGAACACCAGGGGAATAGCTCTAAACCCCATTTAAATAGGGAGTGGGAGGGAGGGAGAGGGGAACATTTATTACCATCTAATCCTGCTCAGATTTTCTACACCATATGTCTGAGCAGCAGAACATGTGAAATGTGTACTAATTACTCTGCCTGTGTCATGTGTGTATATTTTATATGCAGTCCCTGACCTTTTTGTTAATAACTTCACATTATATTCATTGACCTGAAACAAATTGAATTCAGTGGCACTCACTCTAGAATTGAATTACATAGTCTTCTTAATTGGTCTCTTATTTAAATGTGACAGTTTACCACCTGTAATTATTTTTTTGCTTAAGAAATTCCTGCAGAGAGTGTGCATGTGCATGTCCGTGTTGGGCTCGTGTCCGGGGGGAATTATCACAGAAACCCCAAGCCCATCTTGCACTGTGGGGTGGAAAAAAAACCCAGAAGTTTTGTTCTTCTGAAGCAAAACCACTTGTAAAAGTGTGTGAAAGCCCCAGAACAATCTCTCCTCCTCGGTGGGAAGGGCAGTCCCGGGTGAGCACCTCCGTTCAGCCCCCACGAGCCGGCCGTTCCCCCCCTTTGCCAGGTCCCATCCCAGCTTCTCCATCCAGTCCCAAGCACGGAGAGCTGAGGTGGGAGTGCGGGTGCTGCTCTGGGAGTGCCGACCCAGCGAGGGCCCTCTCCTGCCGCCGTGCAGGAGAGCGGAGAGCGCGGGGCTGGAACCTCCGCTTCGCTTTTATCCTTCCAAGGCCCAGTTAATTGCCGGAGCCGCGAGGAGGAGACTTACTCTTTACTTACTATATTTAACTTAAAAATGCAAATGTTATTAGTGTCCCGATCAGTGATAAGAGTGCCTTTGTGCCAGGCTTTAACCTCCATTAGGGGGGATTAGGAGAACGTATCCACATTGGCATTTTCCAAGTGTCACTGTGACAGCACTTGCTGCACAAATGCCTGGCTGTCACACTGAGGTTTATCACCAGGTTTTTTCCTGCGAATGCAGACTAATAAGCCCAGAAATTACAATTGCCTCCCTGCCGAATCTGTGATAGGCGGAAATAATGATATCAGTGCCCTGCTAATCTCCTGCCTCCGCGCTTGGCACCAGCCTATTGAGTCACCTGTCATACGCCGCTTTGATGAGGCGAATTCAATCTCTCAGCTATAATGACAATGGAGCCATTTTAATGTTTGGAAATGATTATGTGAAGGTTTCTCTTTGCTCTGTCTTGGCAAGCAAACCAGGTCAGCGTTCCGGCTGTGTCTCCTGCCGCCGCTAACGACTTGGAAGGAGCCGGGCTGTATTAAGTGAATATGCCAAGTTATTAGAAAGGAGACACTGAAGGCAGATGGAGGGGGGGGCGAGATTCTTTTTATTTCCTTTTCCACAGCAAAGCGTGAGCCTGAGAAGATGCTTCATACACGTGAGCATCTCGCACACGCCCACGGTGCCTGCCGGGGTGCGAGGGCTCTGCGTGCCGGCCACCGCAGCCACCTGCCCCCAGATCCACTTGGGAATCGCTGGGTCTGCACAACAGGCTGCAGGGAGCTCACTGAGCAAACCAAGAGCCCAAACCTGTTCCAAGGCAGGGCCAGTCCTTCCAGCCTGCTCGAGTGTTGGGAA